CCCCACTCAAGTGTATGGTTATTGTCCCCAGCATTTCTGAAAACAAACTGACGCCCTTGCTTACAAGTCAGGCAGGGGTGAGAACGATGCAACACAAACTAAGTATGATTTTAAGACACCTTTAGGGAACTAAAACCTTGGCACGATTGCTGTTTATTGACTTTTCATCTGCTTTTAACTGTAGTCAACTTTATATTTTAGCCGGGAAATTACGCTTTTATGGTACTGACTCTGGCCTCATTATGGTGGTTGATGGACTTTTTAACTGTTCGTTCTCAGCGTGGGAGGGTCAATGGGATTCTGTCTGATGTTTTTTCCTCTACTGTTTCTCAACAAGGCTGTGTTCTTTCTCCAGTTTATTTGATATACTAATGACTGTCGCAGCCAGCATTCACATCATCACATTTTAAAATTTACTGATGACTCTGACCCCGGGTTTCCACAGGAGCCAGCAGCACGTCTTGCTCGCGTAAGCTGCTGCTTGGCCCTTCCCACGAGACGCGAAGCAGCAGGGGAGCAGCTGTCACCGACAGAGCACGAAGTCACACGAGCGACGTCGTCAGTAAACACAACAAGCAGGAGAAAACTACAACATGGTTTGTGTTTTATGTTCTGTCCGTTTTATAATCGCCAATACGGACCTGAAAAACAAAGGAGACCGCTAGCTAGATGATAACTTCTCACGGGGACGCACAGTTAGTAACCTTTTTTAAAAGTAAAGCAACCGGAAGGCAGTACGTTCTTTATTCTGAAAATATCGGGAGCTTCTCTCCATTTCCGCGTCCAATTTCCTGTCTTTCCTTCCCCAAAAATGTCGAACTTGACCCGTTTCAGAGGCGTCGCGCGTAGAAAATAGAACCGGCGCGTAAAGGCCGCGACATGCTGCTCCTGAGACGCGGCCGACTCGCGCTGCTGACGGCTGCCGACGGCTCCAGTGGAAAAGGTTCTGTTGACCACAGCGGTTCCTATCAGCAGCTATGACGTGCGGCTGCAGTAACGTGCTGCTGACGGCTCCCGTGGAAAGCCGGGGTGAGGTTGTGTCCCTCCTCAGCGGGGATAGTCCTGACCACGGACCAGTGATCAGGAGCTTCAATGACTGGTGTGAGGCTAACTTTTTACAGATTAATGTTTCTTAGATGAAATAAATGGTTATTGATTTTAGAAAAAAACAGCACGGTCATTCAGTCTGTGCTCATCTCTGGGGAAGTTGTGGACAATGTGGACCAGCATAAATAGCTGGGGACAGTTCTTGATGATAGATTGACCTTTGAACTCCATGTAGACTTACTCTGTAAGGAGGCTCACCAACGAATGAACTTTTATCGGAAGCTCTGTGGTTTTAATGTGGATTCTACTTTCATGAGGATGTTTTATTCATAATTTATTGAGTCCTCATTAAACTTTAATTTCATGTGTTGGTTTGGGTTTTTAACTTGTAACAGCAGGAAAAGGTTGTTTGGAATTTGGAATTGTCAGAGAGTGCAGCAAAATAGCTCACTAATGCAAGGGCGCAGACAGGATTTTCAAACTGGGGGGTCAAAGTTCCAGTGTACCCTCCCCAAAGACACACACACACACACACACACACACACACACACACACCTACATGCACGCATGCATGTACACATACACAAACTATTGCAAGAGCCTTAACTAGAGCTCAGTCAGTTTGTGTCATTTCATCCAATGTTTTACGAAAAAACTGACACTATTATATACGTGTTTGAAGCCATTATGCAGTGGAACGCTGGCAACAAATTTCTGCCTGATCAACACTATCCAAGTCAGTCATTTGTTATTCTCCCAATCAATTACTGACCAAAACCTCATACTTTATGCAAAACATCTTTCATTTAGACATTAACTGGTTTTCAGCATACTGGGCAATAAATCAAAAATGTATTGTTATCGAAATTTCTGACCCTTTTCAAGATAATTTTTCCCATGTCAATAAATTTGATAATAAAATATGAATAGATATGTGTAGGTTGACAACGTTCGTGTCCCTTTAAGAAGCTGTACCACCTTGACGTAATACACATGACAGCTGCTTCTAGTGGACAACTTTTGTTTCTGCTCATACCTGTAGTTATCGTCCGTTTATCGTTATTGAGGTGAAGTCCACAATATATCGTGATATTGATTTTAGGCCATGTCACCCAGCCCTACGATCTTTTAAGAAAACATAAAAAGCCCTATGTAAAAAAACTGCACATAAAATTATTATGTGGCACACTGACCTATATATAACTCATCGGCATCTGCTTCTCTTTATGGCTTTTTTTTTTTACATTGTCGCTACGTCTGCCACGTTTGCAGTGTTTTTACCATAGTTTCTTCATCCATCACGTCCCAAAGAAGGTTAAACAATCATCAAACCCAACATTTGGATCTTGTAAACTCCACACACCTCTCGTGCAGCACCAGCTGTCTGATGCTGCAGCAGCGTCAATCTTCCCGGCTGGATGAGTGAATTTCTTCATCAGAGTCAATATTCTGCTTCATAATCAGAGTCAGTCATGACCAGACAAAGTGATCAGTCAACAAAGACCAGACCTGCCGGCAATTATACGTTTCATCCTGATAATATTTGCGCTCTTCATGCTGCGCGCATCTTCTCCTCTCCCCGACTGGGAGCCTCTCGGCGGGAGGCGGTTTCAAACTAAACTCCCAAACTTTGCTCAGCCTGAAGGTTCCACATCTCCACTGTCTTCTGGTGTAAAGTAGTAACTTCATGAGGATCATGTTTGTAGATGAGACTTGTTAAAGTCAGTGATGACGCTTGTCACAATACTGCAACTTTGGCGCTTATAACGAGTAAGTCCCAACACCGACAACAACGTACTGAAACTAGAACCAACATGCATAAACAGACAGATCGGTCCCGCCTACTTACACTGTTGGACTTTTTTAAATACACAGTAATCGTTGCTTCATCCTGCATCCTAGCAGCAACCACTTTGGCGCCTTTGGAGTCACTGTTTGTTTACGTCATGCTGCATTCAATGTAATTGGGAAAAGGAGCTTTAAGCTCTTAACCTCCTATTTTGTTTTCTTTCTTGCCTTTAAAGTGAAGGGGAAGGATCGGAGTCAATCTGAATCTGGAGGGGACAGATCCCCCCATCCCCCACCCTATCTGCACACCTGCATTGATGTGTATAAAGCCAGGTCAGTAAAGAAGGCCTGGCTGATCCTGGCAGACTGTTCTCACCCTCTTCATAGTGAGTTTAGATTGCTACCATCTGGCTGTAGATAGAAGTTACCAAGGGTGAAGACAAACAGACTGAGACACTTTTATTCCTGTAGCTCTTAAACTTCATAATGATGATCTACTGTGATGTGGTATATGTGTTGTTTTTGTTGCTGTTTTTTTTTTTATCACTAGTGACTGTGAAACCAATTGCCCCTAGGGCATAATAAAGATTCTATTCTATTCTAAGGTAGACTTGGTGTGCAGTCATCATTAGGTCCTGGTAAATGCGGAGGACATTCCTAAAACCGCTGTCATCACCCCCTTTGGCCTCTTGAGATTTTATGCATCCCCTTCGGCCTTAAAGGTGCCGCACAAACCACCCTTTCCCTTCTGCCTCATTAAATTTGGCCACCAATGCGTCAGATGTAGCTGTTGGCTCTGTGCTGGAACAGCATGTGGCAACCGCTCGCCTTTTTCAGTCACTCATTACGAGCAAAAGTACAGCATATTTTACAGGGAGTTGCTAACGCCATTTTCCAGGAAGGCCGCTATTTTACTGCATACATCGACCACAAACCTTTGGTTTTTGTTATGTCCAAGACCTCTGAACCCTGGTCCAGTTGCCAACAGTGACACCTAGCATGTGGCAGGAAAGTCCAACGTGGTGGTAGACTGCCTTTCCCGTGCTCTCCCCAGTTTCTGTGGGTATTGACTTCGCTGTAATGGTGGAAGATCAGTTAAATGACAGACATCTGAACGCTCCAATCTGCGCCAATGGGCCTAAAGATAGGCAGGAGCCTGGTGCGGGAAGGCCACCCTCCCCTCATCTGGGATTTCTCCAGGAGTATGTTATTGATCCTTTATTAAAAGTAACCACTTACATCACGTTACAACAATAACAAGAATCCTACACTGCTGCACGTTTTGTAATATAAATCTTAGTTGTTGTAATTTGCCCTTACTGAACAACTTCACAAGTTTATTTTTTAATTTTTAATTTTTTGTGTGAACATGCGCATGTTTTGGCATTTTTGCAGGTCTGTAAAGGTTTCCCTGACACACACACACACACACACACACACACACACACACACACACACACACACACACACACACACACACACACACACACACACACACACACACACACACACACACACAGGTTTGGGTCACACCCTGTTGATTTGCGCTAGCTGTCTGAGTAAATTAATGCAAATGTGGCTGAGTTCCCTGGAAAGTAGTGTGTTAACGCAACAAAAGCAGGAGGACAATGGCACAAATTAGCACAGCCCTAGTAATTCTGGTGTTACAGCAGGTCACCTTAACTCAGGTCACGCCCCAACCGGTGTCTTGATCCATCCACATATGAAAACCAAACCAAAAGGGAGACCTGGCAGACTTAAAGAGTGGCACTGACGCCGTAACCGATAACCAGTGGCCCCACCCCAACCATCGCCCTTCAAGTGCACTCTCTCAGGTGTGCACACACACACCACCTGGAGGCTTGGTGTACCAGCAGCAACGTCACTGGGTACTTTTCAGCCAATAGTAATGGCTGATTCAAATGGCTCTAGAGCAGTTTTAACCAGAAGATGGCGCAATAAAACGACTTTAGGCTGAAATTTATATTTTAAATACGATGCACTAAAATGCCGTAATAATGACTACACATGTCTACAGCACTATTGGAAATTCAATTCTGGTTTATCAGCAACAAAACATGTATTTGGGTGACTTGCTGTTCATGTCTGATATGAGCATGTATTTATAGAGTTGAAGGCTAAATAAAACCTTGTTTCTTTTGTAGGAGTAAACCATGTCACTCTCCAGCTGGATCTCGGCAACCTGTTCCAACTGGATAGCCTGGTGCTCAGCTTCAAGGTACCACAAAATCACCACTACACAAATAATCATTTTCCCTTTTAGTTCATAATTATTTACCTTAATGGTAATTAAATGTTATAATTAATGTTTTCTACCATCAAATCTTTTTACCTGATGAAGATCAGAACTAGGGATGGGGATTGAAAACCAATCATTGTTGAGAGCCGGTTCCCATTGTTTCATTTCCTAGGAATCATTTGCCTTTTTTGAAAAAGATTCCCTGAAAGCCAGTCAGCACGAATGACATCACCATGCTCGTTGCATAGCTACACATTTACTCAGAAGGAAACATGGGTTAAGCTTGGTTTATGCTAGACGCATTCACTTTCCACTTGGTGATGCGGCTCACGGATGGAACGCGCTTCACAGCTCGCAGCGTTTATGGTTCATGCGGCTCGTCTCTGCGGTGAGCCAATATTCTCCCAAACTGTAGGGGGCAGCATGGAGCTCTACGGCATGCATCCAACACTACACCATAGTAGAAGTAAAAATGACTGTTGTTTACAACATGACATTCCAGCATTTTTTAACAGCGTCCTCGTCTTTTCCGACAGTGCGAGCTATTTCTCTCCAAGAATTATTAACAACATGTTGATCACGGTGATCTCTGAGAGCTGGTTGAAGATGGCGCCAGTGTTGCCGGCCTGCTGTCTGTCAGCTCCTCTACTTTTTGTTTTTTTATAGTTTTTAGCCTATGCGCTACAACCCGCTCATCCAAGATTGGTGTATGCTCATCATACGCTATTTAAAATAGGTTTTTCAGCTGGATTTTTACCGTTTGAAGCTGTTGAGCACTGGAATACTTCCTCTCCCCTCTACCTGGATGGCCTTTCGGCGTGCTGGGAAACACCGCCGTTTACGCACCCTACTAGGAGGAAACGTAGGAGGAGAGGCTGTCGGGGTGGACGGCTCGTCAAGCTGAAAGCATTGAAGCTTGCCTCTTCTGGCGGTTCGCGAGTGGTCTTGTGTTCGTCCACTCGGTTCCTGGCGCCGTGGCGTGTGGTGGATCTGGTGGATTCCTGGCTCGTTCCTGTTGCCAGCAATTCATTGGAGTTTGGCATGCGCTCCCCACCCTTTCGGAGATTCAGTCGGAGACGAGCTGATCTGAGGAATCTCCGATCATTGACTAGAGCTTCCTCCACCAGCAGCAGCTCTGAAGTGTCCTTAAGGTGGGACCTGGTCAATGCTAGATCTGTGGCTAACAAAACATTCATTGTGAAGGAATTTTTTTACAACGCATGTTCTTGACATCCTCTGTGTGACGGAGTCATGGATTCTTCCTGGTGAGTCCGCTGTTTTTAATGAAGTGATCCCAGCAGACTGTGCTTTTATTAATGTGCAGAGGACCATTAAACTTGGGGGTGGATTGGTGGTTATCTATAAAGCACATTTGAAGACGAAACATTTGCAGTCCTGGTCTCCTAATACCAGTTTTGAACTGTGCTTATTCGAACTTGGTCATCCGCAACCAATCCTCTGTGCTGTAGTATATAGACCCCCGAACTACAATAAGGATTTTTTACCGGAGTTTTCAGAAGTCCTAGCAAACTGGGCTGCTAGATACGAGCGGATTTTGCTACTGGGAGACTTTAATATTCATATCTGCTGTCCTGGAAAACCTTTAGTCTCTGATTTCATCAACCTTGTGAACTCTTTGACTTTTACGCAGTGGGTTAATGGGGCCACACAGGAATGTGGCCACACACTGGATCTTGTGTTATCACTGGGGTGTTCAGTAGATAATCTGACTATTAAGGGTGCAGTTTTCTCAGACCATAATCCCATATTATTTGAGACTACTCTGCTAAGTAATTTGCTGGCACCTGTTGCCCCCAGTAGGTATAGTCGTCATGTGAACTCTGACACTGCAACTCAATTCACCTCACTGTTTGAAAAGCCTTCTTTGATTTATCAGACTGGATGGATTGCTTACTTGCTTTAATGAGACCTGTGAGGCTATCCTTAACACTGTTGCGCCGTTAAGGCCCAGGAGGGGAAAAGCGTATGGTAAATTTATGGTCAACGGACGCTACTCGTGCCACAAGAAGGACATGTAGAAGATACGAGAAACAGTGGAAGAAGGATAATCTGCATGTTTCCCTAATTGCTCTACGTGACAGTTGGAAATCATACCAAGAGGCAGTTAGATCTGCGAAATTTGCATATTATTCAAATCTCATTTCTTTAAACTCAAACAACCCCAGAGTACTTTATACAGCAATTGACTCAGATCTGAAACTAAATGATCATCATGTGGCTTCAGCTAAAATGTGTGATGAGTTCCGTGACTTTTTCATTGGGAAAGTTTCTGCGCTCCGGGCTAGCATGTCTAGGGCACCGGTATGTGGCCGTTCTGTTACTGCCACCAGAGGTTTGGTAGCATTTCAACAAATTAGTCTTGATGATCTGATCAAGATCGCTGGGAAGGCTAAGCTGAGTGGCTCACCGGAAGAAGTAATGCCAACGCGCCTCCTTAAAGAAGTCTTTCCAGTAGTCGCCCCTTTAATATTGAACATAATTAACATGAGCCTCAGTTCTGGTATAGTCCCTGACGATTTCAAAAAAGCGGTTATTCAACCTTTGCTCAAAAAGCCTGGACTGGATGCTTCGCTGGCTGCAAACTACAGGCCCATTTCGAAACTTCCTTTCTTGAGTAAGGTGCTAGAGAAATGTGTTTACCACCAGCTCTTGGTTTTTATGGACGAGAATGCCATTTTTGAGACTTTCCAGTCTGGCTTCAGGGCTCTACACAGCACGGAGACTGCTCTGGTTAGAGTGCTCAGTGACATCTATCTAGCGACTGATAGCGGTAATTCTGTGTTGTTACTTCTGCTGGACCTCACGGTAGCCTTTGACACGATAGATCATGAAGTGCTGCTTCACCGTCTTCATCATTATGTCGGAATTTCAGGGTTAGCCCTGGAATGGTTTAGATCATACCTGACAAATAGAAAAATGTGTGTTAGGATGGGAAGTTATTCCTCAGAGTACTCTGATCTACCTTGGGGGGTACCACAGGGCTCGATATTGGGACCTTTGTTGTTTTCTATTTACATTCTGCCCTTAGGTGACATCTGTCGTGAGCTTGGAGTTCAATTCTACCTTTATGCTGACGACTGTCAGCTGTACCTGCCTCTGAACACGTCAAGTGGTCTCTCTATTTCTACTCTTACAAACTGTTTGAGGGAGATCAAGACCTGGATGACTGGAAATTTTCTGAGCCTAAATGATCAGAAAACAGAGGCTATATTATTTGCTCCAAGCATACACTGTGACTCTTCCCTAACTGACTGTGGGTCATTTAATGGCCAGCTGACTACATCGGTGACTAATCTTGGTGTTAAACTGGATAGCGCCCTTAGTTTTGATACCCACATCAATGGAGTGATCTCCTCCTCCTTTTTCCACCTTCGTCGGCTGGCAAAGATCAAACCGTTTTTGACACGTCGTGATCTTGAGACAGTAGTCCATGCTTTTGTTACGGTGCGATTGGACTACTGCAACTCTGTTCTATTCGGTGTGAGCAAGGGCTCAATAGCCAGGTTGCAAATGGTCCAGAATGCTGCTGCCAGATTTTTAGAGGGCAGGCGCAAGTTTGACCACATTACTCCTGTCCTAGCTGCGCTTCACTGGCTGCCCGTTAATGTTAGGATTCATTTAAAAATACTTTTACTAGTTTTTAAAACGTTAAATGGTTTGGCCCCTCCTTACTTGGTGTCACTATTTCAACCATACACCCCTTCACGGTCCCAAGAACACGTCTAAAGACGCGTGGTGATAGGGCCTTTGCTGTGGCAGGTCCTAAGCTTTGGAATAAGCTTCCTCTGAGCATAAGGGCCTCCACCTCTGTTGCGGTTTTTAAGGCAAGGCTAAAAACATATTTTCATGACCTGTCTTTTAACCTTTCTAACTAGTTTTATTGTTTTACTTATAGCGATTTTACTCATTGTATTTTTATCTGTATCGTGTGATACAATGTTTTATTTTCTGGACTTAATGTTTTATGTTTTTATTTGATCAGTGTAGCGCCTTGGTGGCATCTTTTTGCCTGTAAGGCACGATTTATAAATAAAGTTGAGTTGAGTTGAGTTGAGAGCTGAATCATACAAATGTCTGTATTTACGAACCTCTGCCATACTAGTTCTTGCCGGTCCGCCATATTTTTCCGCGTCCGGCCGTCCGCGTGGTTAGAAAATTTCCTAGGTGCGCGTTGCGGAAATTTGGGGCCGTGCGGAGGCGCGGTGGAGGGGCGTGGTTGTTAAGATGACGCAAAGTGACGCAACTTTTCCGCGCGGAGCCGTGCGAACCTCGCGGACGCGTCAAGCATAAACCAACCTTTAGGGTTAGATACACACACACACACACACACAAAGTCTCACACACCCTACTCAATGTTGTCAGTGTGCATTATTCTGAAGTAATTTCTAGTCATGACCTAGATTGCATTTTACTCTAGGTAATTGTTAAGGTCCAAGATAAAGGACACTGTCTTGGCTAGGGTTAGGGAATCCCGTTTCTGACCCAGAACATAAAAAGGTAAAATGATGAACAGGGGGAAGAACAAATTTGTTGCAACTAAAAGATTTATTCCTTATAAACAAAAGAAAATACAGCTGCCACGGACTGGAATTACTAACATTAATATAACTAGACACAATCCAAAAATAAATGAAAAGGGAGACATGAAAGACGCAGGAGTCTAGTCATCAAAGTCAAGCCCAAAACTTATCAAAAACCACTAAACAAGCTTGTGAACCTAAAGACAAGAGAGGGATCAAATCTAAAAGGTAAGTTTAAACTGAGTGTGGGCAAACAGGATACTCTCAATCTTAATAACAAAAAGACTTGTGCACCTGAGAGAGATGTATGCACCACCTTTCGTCAAACTTTTGACAGTTTTATTGCTTTATGACCTTTTATGACCCTTTATTTTGCCTTCTGCACACCACCTTATGTGAAGATACGATTTATAACCCTTTTGTGTTTGTTTTACTACACATCCGATGTTTGTCTTTTATTACATCCTTTTGTTTAATTATCCTTCTGTTTTATTAGGGTTTGGTCTTTATGTTACGTGAGAATTTATAACCCTGGAACTTTGAGTCAACTCTATCAGCCCACCCCTTTCAGATCTATGATGTAATACCCCCATCCCTCCCTCCAACATGGTCAGCTCTTTAAAAACTCAGAGCCATTTCAGCACACACACACACACATGCACGCACGCACGCACACGCACACACATACACACACACAATGGATCTTGCATGTTTGTGACAATTTCTACTCTCTGAGTAGTAGATTTGTATGTATACTTTTGTTTGATCTTTTGACTTGAGTATGAAAATAAACATTTTGGATCTTGAAATGTTTGAACCTTTGAATGAATTGTCACCACACCACAGATTCATTCATTAAGAATCCTAGCTAACAACAGCACTAGGGTTATCCTATAAGCTTGCTAATAAGTTGTGCATGTCACCAGTAGGTGGTGTAATCAGTGAGCGTCAATACAACAGTCCCTATTGCTTTGCTGGGCTTCAACTACAGCTGTTTAACATTGTGTAAAAAGCCAAGCCGTTAAACTGACGCCAAAGCTGCTTCCTGTTTTTCTAACAGGGCGGTGGGGTCATGATGTACAATTACAGAACCGATAAACAGTAATCCACAAGTACACAAAATTTGGTGTGGATCTGATGTTGTACTATGGAGATGTATCTTGTTGAAAAAAATCTAGAGAACGCAATTCAAAAAAAACAGCTGTTCTTAGGTGGACAAGATCATTTACGTGCAGTTTAATAATGCATGTGTTAAACAGAGCCAGTTGCCTGAGCAGGGAGGCCCAGACTTCCCTCTCCCCAGCCACTTGGACCAGCTCTTCGGGGGAATCTCAAGGCGTTCTCTGGCCAGCCGAGTGATATGATCCTTCCAACATGTCCTGGGTCTCCCTTTAGGTCTCCGGACGTGCCCGGAAAAGCTCACCAGGGAGGCGTCCAGAAGGCATCCTGACTAGATGCCCGAGCCACCTCAACTGGCTCCTCTCGATGTGGAGGAGCAGTGGATCTACTCCGAGCCCCTCCCGGATGACCGAGCTTCTCACCCTATCGCTAAGGGAGAGCCCAGCCACTCTGCGTAGAAAACTCATTTCGACCGATTGTATCCGTGATCTCCTTCTTTCGGTCACTACCCAAAGCTCATGACCATAGGTGAGGGTAGGAATGTAGATCGACCGGTAAATCGAGAGCTTCGCCTTCTGACTCAGCTCTCTCTTCACCACCACAGACCAGTACAACGCCCGCATCACTGCAGATGCAGCACCAATCCGCTTATCGATCTCACGCTCCATCTTCCCCTCACTCGTGAACAAGACCCCGAGATACTTAAACTCCACTTGGGACAGGACCTCATCCCTGACCCGGAGAAGACATTCTACCCTTTTCTGACTCAAGACCATGGTCATGGATTTAGAAGAGCTGAATTCTCATTTCAGCTGCTTCACACTCTGCTGCGAACCACTCCAGCGAGATCATGTTCTGGTGAAGCCAACAGGACCACATCATTTGCAAAAAGCAGAGACCTGATCCTCAGGCCACCAAAACAGATCCCCTCAACACCTTGGCTGCTCCTAGAAATCCTGTCCATAAAGGTTATGAACAGAATCAGTGATTAAGGGCAGCCTTGGTGGCGTCCAACTTTCACTGGAAACGAGCTCAAGTTATTGTCATACAGGGATCAAACAGCCCGTATCAGAGGGCCTGGTACCCCATACTCCCGAAGCACCCCTCAAATAATGCAGCTCTTAACTTCCAGGTGAAAAATCTGTCCGTTGAGATGGAGAACGCAAGCGTGTGATTGGTCAGGATGCCGTTGTCGTCTACAGCGCCACCATTGTGCCCTCACAAACATAAATAGAGCCGAGGATAACTAGCGGCACACACGGAGCAGCTTGAACAATACCTCCAGGAAAAACTCTACGATATGAACGTTTTATTCCCCCGTGACCGGAGGAGTGAAAAGATACGCAGCAGGCATTTAATTTGTGGACGTAAATGATGGAAACGTGGGTTCAGAGGTGGTGAGTGCATGAAGAGGTGGAGGAGGATGAGGGACACATCTGTCTGTGTTAAAAAGTCTCTTAAATACAAAAAACACAATATAATCACACTATCATGGACCGGGTACGTGACAGGATACCACAGAACAGCTCTACGCCCTCTGCTGTCCTGGCTTGCTTTGCAACACTCCCCAGGAGATGGAGAAGTCTGAGGTCAAAATGTCTCCGTCCGTGCGTCTCTCCCTCGTGGAGCTGACGGAGACATATAAATTAAGCTCAAGGCTGCACAGAGGTGCAGGGGTTGGCACTGTTGCCTTGCAGCAAGAAGGTCCTGGGTTCACATCCTGGGGTCTCTCTGCATGGAGCTTGCATGTTCTGCATGTGCATGCGTGGGTCTCCGGGTGCTCCGGCTTTCTCCCAAAGTCCAAATACATGTCAGGATAATTTGGTTTGTCTAAATTGTCCTTAGGTGTGTGTGAGTGTGTGTGTGTTTGGTTGTTTGTTCTGTGTGTCTCTGTTGCCCTGCGATGGACTGGCACTTTGTCTAGGGTGTACCCCACCAGTTTGCCTGTTGACTGTTGGAGATAGACACCAGCCCCTCACAACCCTGCATGGACAGGCGGGTTCAGATAATGGATGGCTGAACATGAATAATTTTGTCTAAATTGTGTTATTTTGTTCTTACCCTTTTTTCTCTGTGTGTTGTGATGGATCTGTAAGGCGATGTGTCTAAAGGAGAGGCAATAAATAAGCTTTGGCCTCAGCCTATTCATTTTTGTTTTGGTTCCAGTGATTATAAATTATTTTGAAGAGATGAATATCTCATGTTTACATTTTAATTTTACATGGTAAATTCCAACAAAAATAAACTGTAATTGTATATTGTAGGAAATAATCAACATGTTTGATAAACTTTTGTTTAACACTGTTTCATTGATCAGCTGTTCATGGGTTATTGTTGCAGGGTCCCCGTCCCAGTGCCTTGGTAATAGAGAAGTCTCTGGATCACAGTAGGACATGGCAGCCTGTCCTCTACTTGGCTGCAAACTGTCAGAAATCCTTTCCTGTTGTCCCCACATCAGCACCTCTTACTCTTGATGGGACCTACTGCCACACCCTGCCGCACCACGCCAACCACTACCAGAATGAGAAGGTAAGGACAAACATCTAGCTCAGGGGTCTCCAACCTTTTGGAGACTGTGAGCTACTTTTACGCAATGAAAATACAGAAGAGCTACCGCCATACGATTGATTCACAATGATACTTTCCATGTGGAAATATGCTTACTATGTTAACCTGATTTCTGTGTTAACATGCTTACTATGTTAACAAGCTTGCTATGTTAACATGCTTGCTATGTTAACATGCTTTCTATGTTAACAAGCTTGCTATGTTAACATGCTTTCTATGTTAACAAGCTTGCTATGTTAACATGCTTGCTATGTTAACATGCTTTCTATGTTAACAAGCTTGCTATGTTAACATGCTTTCTATGTTAACAAGCTTGCTATGTTAACATGCTTTCTATGTTAACAAGCTTTCTATGTTAACAAGCTGACTATGTTAACTAGCTTGCTATGTTAACATGCTTTCTATGTTAACAAGCTTGCTATGTTAACATGCTGACTATGTTAACAAGCTGACTATGTTAACATGCTGACTATGTTAACAAGCTGACTATGTTAACTAGCTTGCTATGTTAACATGCTTTCTATGTTAACAAGCTTGCTATGTTAACATGCTTTCTATGTTAACATGCTGACTATGTTAACAAACTTTCTATGTTAACATGCTTTCTATGTTAACAAGCTTGCTATGTTAACAAGCTGACTATGTTAACTAGCTTGCTATGTTAACATGATTTCTATGTTAACAAGCTTGCTATGTTAACATGCTTTCTATGTTAACAAACTTTCTATGTTAACAAGCTTGCTATGTTAACAAGCTTGCTATGTTAATATGCTGACTATGTTAACTAGCTTGCTATGTTAACAAACTTTCTATGTTAACAAACTTTCTATGTTAACATGCTTTCTATGTTAACATGCTTTCTATGTTAACAAGCTTGCTATGTTAACATGATTTCTATGTTAACAAGCTTGCTATGTTAACATGCTTTCTATGTTAACAAACTTTCTATGTTAACAAGCTTGCTATGTTAACAAGCTTGCTATGTTAACATGCTGACTATGTTAACAAGCTGACTATGTTAACTAGCTTGCTATGTTAACAAGCTTTCTATGTTAACAAGCTTGCTATGTTAACAAGCTTGCTATGTTAACATGCTTTCTATGTTAACAAACTTTTTATGTTAACATGCTTTCTATGTTCACATGCTTTCTATGTTAACAAGCTTGCTATGTTAACATGATTTCTATGTTAACAAGCTTGCTATGTTAACATGCCTTCAATGTTAACAAACTTTCTATGTTAACAAGCTTGCTATGTTAACAAGCTTGCTATGTTAACAAACTTTCTATGTTAACAAGCTTGCTATGTTAACAAGCTTGCTATGTTAACAAACTTTCTATGTTAACAAGCTTGCTATGTTAACAAGCTTGCTATGTTAACAAACTTTCTATGTTAACAAACTTTCTATGTTAACAAACTTTCTATGTTAACATGCTTTCTATGTTCACATGCTTTCTATGTTAACAAGCTTGCTATGTTCACATGCTTTCTATGTTAACAAGCTTGCTATGTTAACATGCCTTCAATGTTAACAAACTTTCTATCTTAACAAGCTTGCTATGTTAACATGCTTTCTATGTTAACAAACTTTCTATGTTAACAAGCTTTCTATGTTAACAAGCTTGCTATGTTAACATGCTTTCTATGTTAACAAACTTTCTATGTTAACATGCTTTCTATGTTCACATGCTTTCTATGTTAACAAGCTTGCTATGTTAACATGATTTCTATGTTAACAAGCTTGCTATGTTAACATGCCTTCAATGTTAACAAACTTTCTGTGTTAACAAGCTTGCTATGTTAACATGCTTTCTATGTTAACAAACTTTCTGTGTTAACAAGCTTGCTATGTTAACATGCTTTCTATGTTAACAAACTTTCTATGTTAACATGCTTTCTATGTTAACATGCTGTCTATGTTAACAAGCTTGCTATGTTAACATGCTTTCTATGCCGCTGTTATATTCACAAAATCGCTCCACCAAAACCAAGTAATTCGTTTGCGATCGTTTATATCAGCCCATATTCTCTGATACTTCATGTACTTTTCAGCTGAGTCCATAATCTGTGCCCTGGTGAATTCAACTCATTGCTGCTGGTGCGCAGCGCATATTAAGCTTTTTTTATTTACTTATTTTTTTCTTTGCGTTCGGTAGATCCCTTTGGCTGATTAGTTAGAAAGTAAGAAATCTAGGAAACAGTTTTTCTGGAAGACGGAGAAAACATGCAGCATGCAGGAAGGCTAGAGAGAGAAAGGGCAGGAAATTATTCACATAAAATCAAGACAACAAAACAAAGTGCTTAAAAAGAAAAAAAGTAGGTAGATTTATCCCCAATACACATTCTTACCAGTGAGAAGCAATAATATATAAGCATTTAATATTTATACATGTGATAGAATCAGGTCACCCCAGAAGTCAGTCCCACATCCAGGGCCGTATCAAGGCATTTGGGGACCAAGGCAAATATAGGCTTGGAGCCCCCACCACCTCACTCCCTGCTCAGATGGCCCTATAAGATGGCAGCGTGCTGAGAGTACAGATTGTTGTTGCTTTTATTTAATAAACAATCATTTTGAAGCACTGTTATTATATCTGACTGCTTTTAACAACAATCCTAGCTCAGACACCACATCACCTTCCACATATATGTCATGAGCTCACTGAGCGTCACATGACCAGATTCATATTGAAGTTGTATTGGTGAAAGTAACTTAAAGTAATGCAAAAGTAGTGTAATGCCTTACATTTTAAAATCAGTAATATTGTAATGTAATGAATTACTTTAAAATGAGGGTAACACGTAATAAGTAACGCATTACAGTTTTGAAGTAACTTGCCCAACTTTATTGTTCTATGCCTGAATGCATTCTCATTTTGTTCAGACACACTCACACATTCTTGTGGCCATTCACATACACACACATTCATTTTTACACACACACCTTCTGTTCTTCTCTTATCTCATGTTATAAATAAACTCTGAGAGCAGAAGCTTGGGGCAGTCGCTTCGAGCTTCTGCCCCTGATTGCAATTTGGTGGCTTGTCTTGTTTATTTGTCTATTTTTTTCTTGGCTGCAGGTATTGGGTTATTAATAAAAATCCCTAACAGCATGTTAACATAGAAAGCATGTTAACATAGAAAGCTTAACTTACAAAGCATTATAACATAGAAATCAGGTTACATAGTAAGCATGTTAACATAGAAAGCATGTTGACCTAGAAAGCGTGTTAAAATAGATAGCTTGTTAACATAGAAATCAGGTTAGCATAGAAAGCATGTTAACATAGAAAGCATGCAAACATAGAAAGTATGTTGACATAGTAAGCATGTAAACATAGAAATCAGGTTACATAGTAAGCATGTTAACATAGAAAGCATGCAAACATAGAAAGCATGTTAACATAGAAATCAGGTTACATAGTAAGCATGTTTACATAGAAAGCATTATAACATAGAAATCAGGTTACATAGAAAGCATGTTAACATAGAAAGCATGCAAACGCAGAAATCAGGTTAGCATAGAAAGCATGTTAACATAGAAAGCATGCAAACATAGAAACCATGTTAACATAGAAATCAGGTTACATAGTAAGCATGTTTACATAGAAAGCATTATAACATAGAAATCAGGTTAGATAGTAAGCATGTTAACATAGAAAGCATGCAAACATAGAAAGCATGTTAACATAGAAATCAGGTTACATAGTAAGCATGTTTACATAGAAAGCATTATAACATAGAAATCAGGTTACATAGAAAGCATGTTAACATAGAAAGCATGCAAACGCAGAAATCAGGTTAGTTAACATAGAAAGCTTGTTATCATAGAAAGCATTATAACATAGAAATCAGGTTAGCATAGAAAGCATGCAAACATAGAAAGCATTATAACAAAGAAATCAGGTTAGCATCATCGACATATAAATATTGGACAATGGGTTTCCATAGACTCCAATAACACGTTTTTGTGCTAAAATGGGAGGTGGCCACCACCGCCATTTTGACCGTGTCACAGGTTCCGTCAAGTCCAGACAATTCCATAAAAGGGAAGAGAGGAGGAGCTGAGGGTGGGGCTGTAAGGCTGGGATCAACTGACGACACCCGGTCGAACTAGCTACAAGCTAACCTGAAGCTAACCCAAAGCTAACGCGGAGGTGGGAGCTAAGCTAATGGAGGTAGCAACCTAGCTACAACCGGAGTTAACATAGTCAGAGATAAGCCGGGTTGACCGCTGGGTATAACCGGGTGGAACACAGAGGTCTTGGAGACATCCACAAGCCGGCAGCCGCACAGCAGACAAGTGCCGCTGCGCAGAGCTGCCGCTGGGGAGAACCGGTTGGAAAGGTTTCCATCCCAGAGCTCCACAAGCCATCAGCCCGCGCAGCTAACAGAAGCCGCGATCAGACAGAGATGCGCCGGGCTGCGGGGAGGGGAGAACCGGGTGGAAAACATCGGTCTCCCGAGAGCTCCACAAGCCGATAGTCGGAATCCAGCTCCACCAACATGTTATATTTCAACCCATTTTCTAAAGTGCAGCATTATGTTAAATGCACTGGGTTTTACCCTATTACATTTAAATTTCATGGTTAAACAGTACATGTTAAAATCTAAGCTCAGCTCGGCAGTGACCTAAAATACATGAATATAATTTTACTTACCGAAAAAAATGAAGTGGAGACTCCTTGGACGCTCTATTAGTGCAATTAATGCCACAGCAAGTCATTTTGTCCAACAATTGCACAAAAAGTATCCAAACAAGAATACACAAACACAGAGACTCAAAATCCCAGAGCAGTTTCCAAGCCAGACTGAGGCCTTTCCACAGAGCTAGCTCTGTGATCACGTGGGTCTGAGGCGGCGGTCACGTGTGTCGGTTGCAGAATTTTAGGCTTTCAATACATTTAAACAGAAGAGTGAGAAAAAAATTCACCCCCCTCAGAGTTGTCATGAGTATAAACTAGATAATTTAGACAAAAAACATGTTTTGGTACCAGGCTGTAAACATGTTTATTTCTGCTGTGAAATTGGCATTTTTAACATGGGAGTCAATGAGGATTTGCTCGCTTCTGATATCAGCCCCCAGCGGATGAGGGTGGAACTGCAATTTTTGGTTCTTCCGGGTTGGGCCCAATTTTAGAGACGCATTGTGGGGGCTTGGTTAGCATAGAAAGCATGTTAACATAGAAATCAGGTTAACATAGAAAGAATGTTAACATAGCAAGCTTGTTAACATAGCAAGCTTGTTAGAGGGAAAAGCATTATGATAATTGTTTAAAACCAGATGTGAGCTTATAAATTCCTTTTAATGTGTTAAAATGCTTCAAATCACATCATGAATTGTATCGAATCGAAAATCATTGTCAAATCAATAATCAATCATGAGCAGGGATGAACTGTATTGGCTCAGGGTTTCACAGTATCGTTAATGTATCGTATATCGAGATACGAATCAAATAGGCGTCAGAGGTTAGGATTCACAGCCCTAAACCACGTGCCAAAAGGACAGCAACATAGATAGACATTGTAATGAGTGGAAAGGTGACTCCCTTGTTATTGCGCTGCATCCTGGTCTAGCACCATACAAATCCGAAGCTCAAGACTAAGTAGCCCAAGAGAAGCATGGCGGGGGTTTGCTATGTTTACAAGGGCACTGTGGTTTTCCCTTCTAAAGCTACATCTTTGTCTTTCTATTTATTTACTTATTTTCTTTTAAGTAAGTACTTTTAAATTTAAAGGGACTTTAAAGGTTGAATATGGAACACTCTGGTGTTCAGAGGTGGTACCGCAACAACAGGATTCATTTTTCAGCAGTGGGGATGTTGGTTCACTGCTGACACGTTCCAGCACCATGTTCAGAGACAAATCAGACAGGATAAGGACTCATTTCTACTAATATGTTTGTTTTACAACAATATTTACTGTTAGAACATCTTCTGGGCTCAGAATTCACTGGTTGACTTGCCATTTTACACAGTCCTGACCTCGCCTTGCCCAGCAGATGTTTAGCGCAATGGTTCCCTCTAGTGGCTGGTAGATGTAAACATAAATACAGTGTCATGCAAAATTAAAATTTGAATATTTATTTTTTGAAATATAGCTTTTCAACTAAAAACTGTACATTCATTCTGCAAACCTCTATACGCCCAGTGGAGGTATTATTCTTTTAACAAATAGAGCTTTTTATTAAATTATTCAATTTTCTAACTTTAAAGAAATAAACATTTGAAATATATCAGTCTGTGTGTGCTGAATGAATCTAATATACAACTTTCACCTTTTGAAGTGAATTACTAAAATAAATCAACCTCACCTGTATAGTCGCCCATAGTATTTTTCTGAGGATGTTTTCCTGCTCAAAAAACCAAAGTTAACCCGTCTTCCTTACAAGCATGTCTTCATCCAACCGCTCACGCCGCTGTGCTCAAAGTGGACAGAAACGGGGGTCTGTGCTGCAACCTTGCAATGAATCTGCGTATTTCCTCTAGTCCAGAATTGAACAGATTTGCTGAAAGATTTGTGCAATAATCAAAATTTTTTACTTCAACAAAAAGCAAATTTTCGATTAGCTATTACAGAACAGAATCATAAGGGTTGTAGTTTAATGTGTCCCAGAAATCACAACTTTGCTGCATCTTGATAACCTCACTCAAGTGGTCTATATATTGACAGTATCGTTGTTTCTGTCATGTTGTGGTGTAGATGTCTAACCCACGACATACAGAATCAGTTTGAGACGGGGAAAGTGTTTTAAATAAGAATTTATTAAAAGGAAACCAAGGGAGCAGCTTGAACGTAGCGGAGTTCTGTCACAAAGGGAGCCAGTGCGGGAAATAGTCTGGAGAGGGGGAAAAGTAGCTCGAGGGAGGAGTGGTCCGGTCTGGGCTGAGAGGGGATTCCTGAAACTTAGATCCAGAAGGGGAGACGTGGAGGGAGCTGAGTTGGTGGAGATCCAGGGATCTTAGGTGGGCAGCTGGAGGTGGTTCTGGCCAGGGAGCAGCTGAGAGACAAGCAGGTTGGAGTTCCAGAGAAATAGCCAGTCGGGGATGAAAGTGGAGGTTTGATCTGGTGAACGAGAGCAGGAAGAGTAAAATGCAAAATCCAAAAATCCAAAACACATCTAAAATCTCAACAGGTCATAAGAGCTCGAAAATACTGAGATGAGGCGGCTTAGAAGGTACCCAGGTAGAGTAATCATCCAGCGAGGTGTAGAAGTCTCCCAGCTGCTTAAATACCCCTGGCCAGCTGATGAGCAGATCTGCTGCAGCTTGGTCAACCTCCAGACACGCCCACCTGCAGAGGGAAAAACTCAAAAGACAGGGAGTGACAGCAGGAATCCACCTCTCACCGTGACGGTTTCAATGTCCCCAATTTGGAAACTTTACATTTCAGTGAGTTCCCCTTAAGAATGGCTTGAACACCAGTCACCACACATCGGTCCAGGTGTCTGCATGTGAAATCACACAAACTTAAATAATGTGACTGTAAAATGGTTACTTGATGTGAAGAATTAAAACTAAACCTTCTGTTTCTAGATTGATTTCAGCCCGTTGCATCAGTATGCTTTAGTTCCTGCTTCCAAGAGCCAAAAACTTGAAGGTGAGTGTTTTAACGATCATGCTGTTTCACTTTGAGAGCAAAGGAAAGCACAGTGTAAGATAAAATATTACTGTTGGCACTAATGAGACGTCATTTACCTTAAGTATGAGTTATTTTCATCAGCCTGAATCTATACCTGGAAATAAAATGGTTGATTTAAGTGAAGCTCCGCTCACACCCACGCTGACAAAACACACCTACAACAATGTCTTAGGCAAGGCTGCTGTTGTACTGGGCTTGATAGTCCAGTGGTTAAACCTTTCATTTTGCTTTGCTATGTCCTGATCAGTGTTGTGCATCTTTTGCTAAAAAAGTAATTAGTTATACTTACAAATTACCGTAATTTCCGGACTATAGAGCGCACCTCAATATAAGCCGCACCAACAAAAAAAAAAAAAAAGGTTTTCTACACACACACACATGCTGCACTTGAATACAAGCCGCGGCGCATCTGCCACATGCAGGTCTCCGGCGCACAGCGCATGTACGGCCATAGCGTAAGATAATTAGACAGAAAGATGCTACAGGGAGTTTTTTTTGTTGTTGTTTTAATTCAACAAAACAAATTTTAAACACGGGTGAACGTGCCTGCAAGTTTAGAAAAGAAAACAGCGCTGATAGCATTCATATTTCTGGATGGTTATAAAATAAAAACAGCACTGACGCGTTATTACCGATAATTTGCATGTTTAGAGGAAAAGAACAGCGCTGACACAGCGTTAATAAGCCCTGGATGATAAGAAAATAAAACCTGCACACAAAACATGCCTGGTTAGTAAATAAAACACACTTGCCTACCAGAAGAAGTCATTCGCTCTCATCTTCCTCTTGCGCACTAAAGCCATTAAAGTCTTCTTCTTCAGTGTCGGAGTTGAACAGCCCCAGAAGAGCTTCGTCACATACCTTTTCTGTGGCGATGTCAGTGTCCCTATCTGTGTTGCCGTCATCATCCCCGGGTGAAGCTGGCTTGAATGAGTTCTTCCCGCTGCCGTCTCCAGCGCCGAACCGTGGATTCATTCATGCCAAGCTTACTTGCGGCAGCACTGTTTCCCTCGTTTACTGCCAGATCGATGGCCTTCAACTTAAATGCGGCATCATATGAACTCATACGTGTAGTTACCATGATGAGTGGGTATGGATTTGAAAAACATTCTCTGTGGTGCCGGCTGCTTGTATGTGCTAAATTAAAATGAGCACTTTCTTTGGTTTCCACTTTTGAATTCCACCTGTTTCACTTTCTGCTACAGCACCCCCTGCAGGTGAAGGAAAATCTTCAGTAAAGTCGCACCTCATTATAAGCCGCATGGTTCAAAGCGTGGGGAAAAAAGTAGCGGCTTATAGTCCGGAAAATACGGTACTTTAACCAAAGTGTTTTGAGTTAGTAATTCAGTTGACACACGTTGTTTAACTGCATGATTCTTACTACCTAGAGTAAACAATTCTGAAACGTTTATTCAGTAAGAATGTTCTGATGGGTATCCACAAGGGCGCCTCCAAGGGGTGGCCATGGCCACCCCTAGAAAATTGCAAAAATCATATTAATGTTCAGTCAAACCATATATTGATTTTTTTTATTCAAGACATAATTGTAAAACAAAATAAAATATTACAATTAATGAGTAAAGAAATAATCAGAATAAAAAAAATCTATATGCTTCTGCTGCTCAGCATTTAAAAAAAGTTTTTACCTCCATAGTTTTTTTTGTGAACACAGCAACAGGTGAATTAACGAAAAAAATACATTTTTTAATTACATTTGGGATAACATTTTAAATAACTGACATGTATTTTTCTAAAATGTTTGTGGTTGTAAAATTTGTTAAATATTTTGGATACGTACTGTTATTTTGATATAAACAAATAAAGGCGCAATGCAGTACATCGCCACAGACTAAATTCAACCAGTTACCACAAGGACCAATTTGGTTTGCCACCCCAAAAATGTCTTTGGCCTCATCTGGCCACCCCTATCAAAATGTTCTGGAGGCGCCCCTGGGTATCCGGTATGTTAATTCCTACTACGAACAATAGAATCCTGGATATCTAGTAAGTGGTAAGTACATTTTATTTCTATAGCACTCATCACAGACATAGACTCACTAACTCCTTCACATAGATCAACCAAAATAAAACATAAAGCCATAAAATCATAATGATCTCAAAACAGAATTAGATTAACGTCAGAAAAAATAGTCGTAAAAATATAAAATTTCATAAACAGATGAAAGATTACAAATCTGTGTGAAGGAGCGGCCCCATCTCACAACACACACACAATCCCATTAGACATTAATGGATTGTTATTGCCACGATTCAATCGTTTCCCCAGCAGCAGTGCATGGCTGCACACCTGGAGACGCCTTCATCATGATCCACACACATACATGCCAGATGTGTTGGAGCTATCTCAGTGTTTGTTTTTCTGTGAAATGATTGGTGTGATGTTATGCATGGGAAGTGCTTAGGGGCGGGGCAAAAGCTTCAAAGCTCTCAGTGATTGATTGATGTAGAGAGGCTGAGTTTTGTTTTGCTGGCTGAGAAGGAAGTCAGGCGATGTATATTCTCTCAGCAGGAATGTCGTGTGTTCTGGATGAAAAATCAATGGTCTCTGTTATTGCTGGATGGTGGGATAAGCAGCTGTGAACAAAAAATACTTCACTGCACTTTCCGATGCGCCAGCGTGGATTACTGGAATAAACGTTCCCGTGACAAACCCAAAATAAACCAAGATGTATTTGTGCTTAGGGCACCGAAATGACTAGCACTGGCCCTGGTCAGCAGCCATTCATTCGTTCGTTCGTTCGTTCGTTCATTCAGCCACAATGGTGTAGCACATCACTTTACGTGCCCAGTAATGGTAACAGGGTTGCAACAATGGGAAAAGTAATTAATTAGATTACCCTGTCACCTAAAAAGGAAGGCTATTAATAACAATGTTATACCCAAACGCCGTCACTCCCAACACTGGTCTTGAGGCCGGTTTTACTCCCAGTGTTAGCACCAATTTGTTTGGCCAGTTGAAGCGGATTTAATTCATTTATTTTTTTGTTTTATGATTATTTTCTGCTAACTAGTTTGTTTCTGTAAAGATTTCTTTAATTTGGTCGTTTCCAAGCAGCATTTTATTTGATTTAATCTGCTCACCTCCCATGGACTCACACTGGCTACATAAACAAAGTAAAAAAAACACATTAGTCCTTATATTTAAAGCAGTTTATCAATAAAGGGTTGAAAACATCGGACTGCCAGTCAGTTACTCTAAACACTGGACCACCAAATCTGTTAAAAACAATGGTGCCCTATTCTGAGCTGGGGTCTCATTTATAAATCTTGCTTACGCACAAAACGGGGTCAACTTTCCACGCAAACTTTGGGATTTATATGTGACCAGGTGAAAGGGGTTATTTCTGAATGTCCGCCAGATGGCGCTGTGAGCAAGGACAGTAGCGCCAAGTAGAACAGATGTGTTCTGAAGGAAATGGAAAGAGGAAGCCATAGGTTGTCCAGTGACTCGTGCATGTGACTAACAACTTTCCTGCCGTTTAAAAGAGGATTCCTGTAGGAACATTGGGCTGTGAGGATGGGTGGTCTGTTTCATTTAGAGCAGTGTTTCTCAACCCTGGTCCTTAGCGCCCCCCTGTCCTGCATGTTTTCTATGTTGTTGTTTCCAACAGCATTGTTTCTCAGCTGCCACTCACCTGACCATTGAGAAACACACATTTAGAGTTTTACTGCTGGGAGTGGGTAGCCTACTGCAGCCAGTCATTTAAATGGATCTTTTGCTAAAGCGCGTCTGCTTCCGTTATTTGTTGCACTCAGGTTCAGATAGGTTCTGGTGCTCTAGTAAAGAGTTTAGAGTTTTTGTGTATTTTAAAACACCTGGCAAAAAGATTTGTTTAATTTTTATCCTTTTGAATTCCACACTGTTGTAAGACTCCACATTTACTTCACTGCTCTTTCACGAAAGAGCACTGGAGAAATAAAACCCCAAGTCAATTTTTATCTGGTCCAACCTCACGTTTACCAGGTCAGATATAACGAAAACGAAACCTGCAGTGATGCTGCTGAGAAGGATACATTTAAGTCTGTAAAATCTTTTGTCCACAGAGAAGTCCGCGTTGACGGGTCTGAGGGTGAACCTGACTGAGCTGGGCGATGTCCCCCATATACCAGGGAGAACTCTGAGCAGGTTTTATGCCTTAAATGAGATGAAGGTGATGGGCGCTTGCATGTGTCATGGACATGCTAACCGATGTCTACCAGAGGAAGACAATGACCCAGGTTCCAACCGCATACAGGTGTGTATGAGACATAAATTACTCTCCACCCTAGAGATAAGTACACACCTTTTTCTACTTTAATCATGGCGGACATTTTAGGGGAGCTGGGCTCCTCTTTGCTCCCGGTAATTTGAACAATGACCCTAATGTTTAACCGTTTGGAAACATTTTTGTACATATAGTTTTCTTACTGAGACACTTTTGATTTGCTAAATGCATGCTTGAACATCACTGGGGTCTCAGCCTGCTGCAGCTGTGTCTACTCATGGATACAGATGAACAGAGTCACTTTGACAGAAGACTTTCCTTTGCTTTCTCACAGGTGAATTCTCAGTGTGATTGCAAGCATAACACAGCTGGCGTTAACTGTGAGCGTTGTGCTGACCTCTATAACGATCTTCCCTGGAAACCTGCAGAGGAGCGCAATACTCATGCTTGCAAACGTGAGATATTTTCCATTTCATTTCAGTTTTTTTCTAAAGCACCAATTCACAACAACACATCTCAAGGCACTTTACAAAGTAAACATTCCAACTGAGCCTACTGATCAGTGCACTGAGTTCAGTTCATTAGTCCAGTTAGTTAAAAGTTTCATGTGTTACCCTAACGTCACACTGCTCCAAATTCAGATCCATTACAGTCTATAGCAGGTGTGCCCAACCCTGGTCCTCCAGACCCCCCATCCAGCTCGTTTTATATCTCACCTGCTGATTCAGTGGCTGAAGCACCTGTTCAACAGCTACTCAGGCTCTGCGGACAGCTGCTAAATCAGGTGTGTTGAAACAGGGAACCTTCTAGAACGTGCTGGATAGGGGATCCCAAAAGCAGCGCACCGTGTTGCTAAATATAGGATCAGGTTGTATTTGTGCCGCATGCCGCTTCTGGGACATGACAACGTCTGCAGTTAACTGGAACGTTTTGCAAGTGGTCACAATTATTAAACTGCCAATAAATTATGAAACAGTATATAATGTTCCATTAAATCTTTATAATTGAGCCTTTAATATCTAATTGATAGTGGAAATAGGTGTTTTGGGTATGAATCAACACTTATTAATAATTTGACAAAGAATCAAAAATATAGTTCATAAAATAAATTAATTACTATATTTCTACTACTAATGATCATACAGAATAACTGTAGATACATGATTATTCAAGGTAAAATCAACTAAGACGATAATCAAACTTTAATTAAACAATATGTTATTAAAGGTCTAATTAAGTGTCTTAGGAAGGAATGTGATATCTGGGAAAATAAGAATAATCTGGCAGATTTTAATGATGTTATCAATTTATCAAATGAACCTGACCCATCCAACGCCAGTGTGCAGAGCGATGGTACCCCTGTGATGAGAGTTCTTGCTGATCCGGCTGTAGGGTAAAGTCAGCTCGACCCGGCTGTCGAGTGGAATTAGACTTCTGGTACCCAAAGGTCGTCCCCTTCAGAATACCAATCTGGGTGACCGCCGGAAGCTGGCGGATCGTTTTGCATCCAGTGCAGTTCTGCAGGTGAAAACAAGTAATATTTGATCCTGATAAGGGTGGTTCAATGCCTCTGAAAATATTCTGTTGAAAGACCTGGGCTGATCTCCTGAGAAAAGAGGAAGTGACTCTTTATTTTAAGGGTCCGTTGAAGACGAACTAATCACAGTCCAGAAAATGTAGGAGGCGTTAACAAAGACCTGACACATCACATCCTTTTTTAAGAAACCCAGTGAAGGAATATTTAGCTTATTATGTGAAGTAAATATGAGGCATTGGTTAATATACCAAAAAGATATGTGACATTGGTGACTTGATGAGTTAATGATGATTATTATTCAAGATCTAAATCATGCATTTCAATAATAAACTCCTCATTACTGTAAAGCATTAAATCACTTTACATCAAACACTAATTGTATCAAACAGAATATGTAATTAATCTGTAAAGGTGGAAAAAATGATATGAGCCAGATTAAGATTATTTTTGTAAAAGTATAAAAGTCTCGTCTTCTGACTTAGGAAGCCAGGAGATGGACTTTTATTCACTTCCTGGTGGCGAGGTCATCAACAGAATGTTTCTCGTTTGTTAACCGTTAGCACGCTGATGAAGCTGGCTGTGGACAGCGTCTTCCACGGCTTTTTCAACGCTACAAAACATAGGGCTAGACATGAAATGACACAGTTTCAATGTAAAACCTCAATTTTCTAAATAAAAGTGTGTTGCATCGATGCAATTTCATATCTATGTTGATTACATCCAAACGCGTTATCTAACAGCTTATTTACTCCCTGCATCGTTCCAGAAGGGCAGCGGTGTTTCATCCTAGTGGAGAGAAGCATCATGTATGACATCAAACAGCAATATCAAACGTGATTTCTTTCTTTTGGGTTTAAACTTGAGGGATTCAGTGATGTCGCAAGTCCAGGGAGAAGCACGGCAGAGACTCTGCTGCTGATCTTTTCCCGGTGTCTACTGACACTCAGAGAAAGTCGCGAGTAAACCGTTCCGCTGCGCTGGTGCTTCGGGTGTGAATTAAGGGTAAGAAAACCCATGCACACACATACCCTTAAAAGCAATATTACTCAAAAATAATGATACATTCATAAAAAGGGTTTCCAGCGCACACGCATAGTTCAGGTTTCATGTTGCAGATCTGTTACTCAGGACCGTTGCCAGCTATGAAAATCCTCTTGTGCAGCGGTGATGGTAAACAGTAAAGGACCTGTATTTCAATAGTGCCTTCAAGAGTCAGAGAACCCCCCAAGGCGCTTTACAACACAATCAGTCATTTACCCGCGCGTGCACACATTCACACCCTGTAGCCACAGCTGCCCTGGGGTGCACTGATGGAGGCAAGGCTGCCGTACGCAGGCGCCACCGTTCCTCCCACTATCATCAGCAAGCTGGGTGGGTTAAGTGTCTTGCCCAAGGACACAACAGCAGCATTCTCTGCTGGGAGCCAGGATCGAACCTACAAAATTTTAAGATATCTCGGTCACCAGGTGTCCTTGCCTCTGACAACACCGAATGGCACTTGTAATTACTCATGGTAAAATATAAAGTCCATCTATCCATCCTCCCATTGTCTATACCCGCTTGCCCAGGGGTACCCAATCCTGGTCTCGAAGGGCCGGTATCCAGCACGTTTTAGTTTTATTACTGCTTCAACACACCTGATTTCAGTCAGCAGGTTCTGCAGAGCCCGTCGAGCTGGGGTGTGTTGGAGCAGAAAAACCACAAAACCTGCTGGCTAGCGGCCCTCCAGGACCAGGATCGGGCACTCCTGCGCTTGCCCATGCAGGGAGCTGGTGCCTATCTCCAGCAATCTATGGGTAAACAGGCGGGGTACACCCTGGACAGTCAAATCTAAAATAATTTCATTTATTCATTTACTGAACACACCATAACCTTTATCCAGCCTGAAGAGTTGATACGAGACAGGATGGATCAATGCTTTCATGTTAGTAAAACCAGTTTCTGACCCGACATCCAGACTCATCAGGCCAGGAAATGTTTTACATTCTCCTCTGATCCAGTTCTGGTGGTTCCGTTTGAATTATAGCCTGATTGTCTAGCTCCTAGCTGACAGTAGAGACACCTGATGTGCTCCTCTGCTGCAGGAGTCTATCTGCAGCAGCTGGTGTGCTTCTGCTGCCCTTCATTGTTGTCATCATCACGTACAAATGACTGAATTTCAGAAAAGCTAGTGTTTCACTACAAGAATAGCTTTTTATAACTTCCCATGCTCTTTTTTCTTACTTTAATGAACAATCAGGGAAAAACAGTCATCAACATACTTGGAACAATCATTACTAAAGAAATGATCTAGTTCCAATGTTGAGCTGAAGGCCTGTCTCGTTGGTTGGGTTGCTTTGAGTGCAGGCCAGTGAGTCAGCCGTTCATTGGTCTGTTTTTCTGTTCTCAGGCTGTGAGTGCAACAACCATGCCCAGCACTGTCACTTCAGCCAGGCTGTGTATGAAGCCAGTGGGAAGACCAGTGGGGGAGTGTGTGATGGATGTTTGCACCATACCGTAGGACCTAAGTGCGACCAGTGTGCCCCAGGCTACCAGCCCAACCCGCGCAGCCGAATGGACCGTCCTGATGCATGCATACGTAGGTGAAAATAAAGATCTAGAAATCCCTGGCCTATTTCCAACAGCATCACAGTGACTATCTTTTGGCCTACAGGCTGTTCCTGTAGTCCTGAAGGGACGGCGAGCGAGGGTCAGTGCATGGAGCCCTGTCAGTGCAAAGTGAATGTGGAAGGATCTCTGTGTGATCGCTGTAAAAGAGGAAGCTACGGCATGAGCAGACTCAACCCAGCAGGCTGCAGCAGTAAGTTGTAACGGAATTGAGTGATTTAACTATCTAGAGTTGTATTTTAATACACTGTAAGTAGATCACTTGTTATAATCAGAAGAATAGGTTGTTTTTATCATCAGGGAGTTCATTTAACACTCTGTATTGACCTTGAGACAAGAAAAGAGAGAGTTGGGATTGTTTAAGAATTTTATTATAAATTCTACAATCTATCAGGACTCACTCTGTGTTGTTTGGAAATGAATGTGATGTTCGATGTGTGTGTGTGTGTGTGTGTGTGTGTGGTTGGTTCAGACTCCTTAGGCTGACGTCATTGAATCTGGTAGTCTTTGTTATGACTAGATATCACGAGGCTTATAAAGTGATGACATGAGCTGCTATTTTGCCGTGTACGTACCCAGTGGGGGGCCTCCCAGGTAGATCAGGAAATGCCAGGTCCAAGAACCTCGGATGTGTACTGGAGCTGTCGAAGCAGCGGTCGCAGCACGTCAAAGCCCGTCTGAAGAGTCGACCCCGGTACCAATCGGCAGCGTCAGCAGGTGCTCTTATTTTGAAAGGATGTCGTCTGGTTGTTAAACGACGAAAATCTCCAACTTCACAGTTCTTAGTTTAAAGAAGAAAACACATCTGGCCAGTCTGTGCTTCTCTTTGGGATGACGGTGACTAGAACTGAAGTCAAAATGGAACTGAGCTTAAAATGGCGTTGCCTTGTTTTATATCTCTGAATTGTTGATAAGTTTTAGTAAAGCGGATTGGACACTTTAAGTCAACAAGCCAGATTCTCCTGCGGCAGCCGAAAGCTCTCATTGGTTGGAACAATGTGTCATGCGTTTCTATGGAGATGAGGGTCAGTCTGTCTGTGCAATAGTCCTGTTTTCATAAAACACATAAATCATGACATCTTTATTCCACAGATCATTCACTTGATTATTATTGATCAACATATGTTTTGCTTAATTTTTTTAATCACACATAAAGTACTTTGATTAAGTAAAAGCGTTCTTCTTCTCCTTCGGACTCTTCTCCTGGAATGTAAACAGTCTGAGGAACACCCGACCTTGGCTTTTATACACGGGTGTTACTGTGTACAGGGGCAGCTGTGTGGAGCTGAAAATTCCGAACTTCATAACCTTACAAAGTCATCTACCAGCAACACTTAGGCTACGTTCACACTGCAGGCAAGAGTGCATCAAATCTGCTTTTTTCCCCACGTGGGACCCATATCTGATTTTTTATGACAGTCTGAATGCACAAATCCAGTTTTTTAAAATCTGATCCGTGTCACTTGAAAATTTAATTCTGATTTCGACACATTTTTGATGTTTTTGAACGCAACTACAGTCTGAAAGGTCATGTTACACTATATCGGTCTCCTACATCACTGAGTCAGCGGAGGTGAATATCGTGTGTGGATGTTCCTGAGGAGGAGCGCTGACAGGAGCGTTCAGGAGTCTGTCTGGATTTCCTGTTTTAGTCTCACTAAAGGGGGAGGGGCGTCTCCGTGAATGAATGAATACCAGAAAAGTTTTGGTGAATAATAATTCAGGGAGACGACGGGAACAAGGAGTAAAATAGTTTACAGTTTTTAAAACAGTTTCCAGTGAAAACAAAAGAATTAGCAGGTGTGAAAGATCAGGATTACATCACAAGTCTGCCGCTCCTGGTTTCGACTCCACTGAGTGTGACTTCTTCTCTTCTGCACATGCGGGTCACTTTGGTGCCGCGGAGCGTTCACACTGGAGAGAGTTTGATGTCTCATTTCAGTCATTGTGTGAACGACCACACAAAAAAATCTGATTTACTCAAAAAATCTGAATTGAGCATCAAGGCCTGCAGTGTGAACGTAGCCTTAGTCTTCCACTTCTTTGAGTTACTTTGCTCTCTTTATCCATCCTGATTCATGATGAAATGGATCAGTTCATTTATAAAGCCCACCTGGTGGCCGGGCTTTCACCCATAGAGCCCAGCCGGGCACAGCCCAAAGAGGAAACGTGGTTCTCCCTTTCCATGGGCTCACCACTTGTGGGAGGGGCCAACGAGGTTGGGTGCAATGTGTGATGGGTGGGGACCTTGGCTGTCTGATCCTTGGCTACAGAAGCTGGAATGGCACTGTTTGGTGGGGAAGGAGCCTGAGTTGGTATGAGAGGTTGATAATCAGAAGGTTGCAGGTTCGAGCCCCACTCAGTCTGTCACTGTTGTTGTGTCTTTGGGCAAGACACCTAACCCACCTTACCTAACCTAACCTGCTGGTGGTAGTTGGAGGGACCGGTGGCGCCAGCGCTCGGCAGCCTCGCTTCTGTCAGTGTGCCCCAGGGCAGCTGTGGCTACAATGTAGCTCATCACCACTAGGGTGTGAATGGGTGAATAACTGATTGTAAAGTGCCTTGAGAGGTTCCAGTACTCTAGAAAGTGCTATATCAAATGCAGGCCATTTACCGTTTAAACCACAACACAAGTCAGAGCTATAAACTACTCACTCACCAAATTTCCAACTGAAGAAGCTTCAAACGAAACCAAAAGTCTTTAAGTCTTCTCAAAAATACTCTTAGCTCAGAATGTACACAACCAAGCTTAAAAAGGACTACACACAGGGTAAGGACTAGTTTCTACTGATAAGTTTTTCTAGGCTTGTCAAGTCCGCCGTTTTACACAGTCCCAGGCTCACCTTGCTGGGTGGACATTTTAGGGCAGGGGTTCCCAAAACTTAACAGTTTCAAAGTCTCGCGACCCCCTGGAGATGAGTGAAATAATTAAACACACACGTGGAACTTAATCTTTAATAAGTGTACTCAAATAGACAGGTTTAGAAACCTCCACAGGTAAATATGGTACAAATTTACATTTGAAAACTGTAAACAGTGTTGCCAACTGTTTTTGACTGAAAGTAGCTGAAGTTCCCCCCAAAAGTCACTAGATGTTGCCAGATGACGTCACGTACTAATTTACATATTGATGACGTCATCACGCCACATTAGCGTTCGTTTTCCCCATAGCATCTAAAAAAATTATATATATATATATATATATATTATATATGTATATATATATATATATATATATATATATATATATATATATATATATAATAGGACTAAAAGGGAGGAAAATAAAAACTTTGTTATATGTTACAGTTATTAATTAGTATGATTAAAATGGCCCAAATTGCTTTGATATGTAGAATACATTTCAAAACTACCAATAAAGTGGCATTATAGATATGGTGTGGTGATCCAAACAGTTGTGTTGTAGGATATAACTCAGACCTCCTGCTCTCCTCATTCTCACAGACATTTTCCTAAAAAGCTGTTTTTTTACACCTCATAGTTTCTCAATTTCTCTGTTGTGTATCCTCTCCATCGTGATAATAACGGCGCACCGAGCAAAAGGGAGCGGGTGTCTCAAAGTATAACCATCCCTGTGTCTCTGAAGGAAATTCAGATGAGGCACAGAGCTGCGTGTGTAAAGGGGACGGTAGTTGAAACTCCCGATGACTGTATTTGCCAAATGCAGGAAAAACCAAAGTGTCTGACGGCTGCAGAACCAGAGATGGCAGGTTGACGCCCGCGCCGTCTCTAGTAGAAGTGTGAGCCTGCAGCAATATGAAAGCAGCAGACGTAAATCGGCGGTCTCCAGCTCTGCAGCTGTACTCTGTCTTCAGCGAATCAGACCGGCCGAAAACGGTTTATGATTGGTCAGTCCTCGTGCACATGCGCAGATTATCGTTCTCTTTCCTTACTCCCAGAAGAACGGTTCAGAGTGCAAACGGTTTCTTTGTTGCTAATCTGTGTGGAATATCTACATGAAAGTTCTACAGAAAGTAGCAATGGGTCCTGAGAAATGTCGCTAAGTTTGTCGCTAGGCGCTTTTTGGAAAAAAAGTCGTTGAGGGGGGTCAAAAAGTCGTTAGGAACAGTGACAAAGTCGCTGAGTTGGCAACACTGACTGTAAAAGGCGACTCTGAAAACATTCTTGCTGTAGTGTGCAAACTTTAACGTGTTACAATCCTTTGCAGTTTTTGTATAGAACAAGGCAGTCAGTTAGCTTGTTGGTTAATTTTCAGCTTCTAAAGTGACAGCAACTCAGTGCCACAACAATCTCCACACTTTCTCCCTCATTTTACTCTCTCCCGTCCCCCACCCTGCACACGCTCACACATACACTGCATTGCCATGGCAACAAATGGACATGCACTAATGACATGTTTAATTACAGATCCACTAGGATAAATACAATAAAGTTTATCTATCGTCAAATAGAATATTTACTAAGAAATCACAATATAACTATAGACACATTACTTTGTTGTGTGTGTGTGTGTGTGTGTGTGTGTGTGTGTGTGTGTGTGTGTGTGTGTGTGTGTGTGTGTGTGTGTGTGTGTGTGTGTGTGTGTGTGTGTGTATGTGTGCTCTGTCTTCTCCATCCCCAGTGAGTCGTGGAGGATGGCTGCTTATTCTGAGCCAGGATCCTCTGGAGGTTTCTTCCTGTTAAAAGGGAGTTTTCCTCTCCACTGTCGCTTTATGCTTGCTTAGTATGAGGATTGCTGTAAAGTCACTGACACTAGTCAGTGACTCGATGCAATTTGCTGGGTTCCTTATATAGGAAACATTATTTCTGATTGGCTTAATGAACTGACCTGAATTGGAATGTTTATTATGTGAAGTGCCTTGAGACGACTCTTGTCGTGATTTGGCGCTTTATAAATAAACTTGAATTGATTTGAATTGAATGCATCTCTGCCTCCCTTAAGTAAACATTTCCAGAACGTATGAAAACAAAATTCCTAAACGGGTTACAAATGTTTGTAACAAATGCACCTCTTGATGAAATCTTAAAAAATTGTAACAGAAAAGTGCTTTCATTTCAATGTAGCAAAAAAAAAAACTCATGCAAAGTCACAAACGATGACAGAGGAACTTTGTTTCCGTGCTTATTCACATTTTCAGATTGTATGAGATAGGTGGGCAATATGCTTGGAGCCGAGCAAGTCCATTCTGGGTTTAATTTTAGAGATGGTCA